TATATGATTATGTGGTTTTTTATCTACTCCCCTGCTAAAGACATTCGATTTTAGGCATTGGCATGGCATTACATCAACATTTTTGCTATCACCATTTATATGTATATATTAGTAAGGAACTATAATAATTCATGTTACTCATCCTATCTTACTATTACTAATTAGTGGCTCCAACGGAGGCTCTAAGTTAATTCTCACAAAAACGCTAGAAAAAAGATAAATCCTAGAAGTTTTCACAATAATCGGAAACATGTAACTATCAATATGATGTACTCTAATCACCACTAATAATAATAGTCGTTGGGTATATTTTGTTTTCTAAACAACTAACCACCTTTTACGATTGTGTAAAACAACATAAAGTAACTCAAGAATCTTCTATATTTAAATTACCCACCTATACAACTAAGATACATGATAGATAATCTAATTACCCACCTGCTATTATGATAAATAATCTACATAACCCCTAAAATTTGCATTTAATTACCTACTTAATATTATGACAAGCAATCTACGTAACTCCTTAAATTTACATTCAAATTACCGCTTCAGTCATTCTTAAAAAAACTAAAATATCCTTTCAACTCTACATTTAATTAGAGGCTCCAATGGATGCTCTAAGTTAATTCTCACAAAAAACGCTAGAAAAAAAGATAAATCCTAGAAGTTTACACAATAATAAAAAACATCTAACTATCAATTTGATAGACTCTAATCACCACTAATAATAATAGCCGTTGGATATATTTTATTTTCTTAACAATTAACCACCTATACTATTGTTTAAAACAACAAAAGTAACTAAAAAATCTTCTATATTTAAATTACCCAACTATACTACTAAGAAACGTGATAGATAATCTAATTACCCACCTGCTATTATGATAAATAATCTACATAACTCCTAAAATTTGCATTTGGTTACCTACTTAATATTATGATAAGCACTCTACGTAACTCCTTAAATTTACATCTAAATTACCACTTCAGTCATTCTTAAAACAACTAAAATATCCTTTCAGATCTACTTAAAAATATTCTATTACAAGAAATGTTTAAATAACTATAAAACATATATATTTCTATGTTACCCACTTCAGTTATTATTAATATCTTAAAATTTGACTAAAGAAAACATACATGTTGCAAATCAAGTACAAATCCTTGCATGTGTTCTAAATATATAAGTTATATTTTAGTAATCATGAAAAATATTTCCTTAATGACTCATATACTAATGATAATAACAAATTATTTAATTTTATTAGTTGCTAGTTTGGATATATTTACACATTTGAATAAAAATGTTTACATATACATATACATATAATTTCTTGATAAAAATTTGAAATATCCTGAGAAGTGGGGAAGGTTAGTGTAGCTGTAGCTCATAGGTGGCTATATCTTCGTGGCCTTTGAGATTCATTTGGAGTAAACCATCACTATAAAGCTTATATACTAATGTGCTATTGAGCTAGGTTGGTACTGCTATCTTATTATAAATCTTATTTCAACTTGTACCACTGATCCTAAGCGACGCGATGCAAAGTTTGAATGATTGTTAATGCCATCATAGTGCCTGAAGTGTAGTCTATGATCTCAAATTTTTTCTTTTAAGAACCGCAAAAGGATAGAGTAAGCAGAAGAATTTCCACTTGAGGATAAAAAACTATAGCAATTAGTAAGATAAAATTTGAAAATCTAAATTTAGATTCTCGACATCATAATATGAGCTGCAACAAGAGTACACATCATAGTTGAAGCTGATGTTTGAACTAAATTCATCTGGATAACACAAGCAAAGAGGAGTTGTACAAAGGAAAAATCTGTAGATATGGATGAAAACATATAGATCACTAATTGATAAGTTTATTTCACAACTATATAGAGACTACAAAGTATCTATTATGCCTATTATGTTAGAAAAATGGACAAAGATAAAGAAAATAAGCAATTTATTATATATATTTTTAGTGAGAGATATTAAACAATAACTGATGCTTATGTCTCTTAAGATTCTAATCTATGCCAGAGCACAGGTGGATAGACTAGTAATACTTTAATTCATGGTACAAGAGGTGTCAATTGTTCCTTTCATAAATAAATCATATAACTCACAATTTGCAGTTTACAGGTACTCAAAAGTTGGGGGAACAGGTTGGACAAAATACACAGAGAAAAGCAGTTGGAGCAATTACGAGTGTGCGCTGAAATAGGGAAAGAATGCACTGACTATGATCCAAGAAGGAGACCAGATGCACGGGATATTGTCCGTAGACTTGATGAAGCGGATATTGTGGATGATATTGTCACTGACATGAGCAACTTATCAATAGCACAGGTAATTTCACTTTTTATATGATGGTTTTTTTGTATTTGAGAAATCAAATGTTTAGCCTTTTTAAAATATTTGTAAGTTGTTGGTGGAAAAATCCATATATTCTACCTTTTTGCATCTTTGCAAATAAAATGGTAAACTATTACGGCATTGATAATTAATTATTAAAAGATGAAAATTTGGTGCAATATCTATCTTGATCTAATTATCGTGTCCTTTAGGAAATACACAAGATAGAGGAGCATGGCGACGGACTATTTGGTGCAATTGGTCGTAAGCTGTCCCTCAAGTGCCTTCTTCGAGTGTCCCGGTCGGATTACGGCACAGTGGCCTCCTTGAGCCGGCACTTCCGGACTCTGGTGCGCAATGGGGATATCTACCGCCTACGGCGGCTGACCGGGGTAGCAGAGCATTGGATCTACGTCTCTTGTAAATGGAGAGAGTGGACCGCATATGACCTGGAGCGCAGGCGCTGGATCCGAGCACCCAATATGGCAGTAGATGCAAAGTTCATGCACATTGAGCATCAGCCGTCGCTCGTTGTGGGCACAGACCTGCTCGTGTTTGGCAGGGGGGACTTTCTGTTAATATATAGCATCCTAACCAATTCATGGATTCAGACGACTGATGCGACGAACTTCTTTCCGCGCTGCCAATTTGGTTCAACAAGTGTGGGGCAAAAAGCCTATCTGGCAGGCGGAACTACTGATTATTATGACGGGGTCTTGAGCACCGCAGTAGTGATGTATGATTCTGAGGAAAAAGTTTGGGAGCCCCTCCCAAGCATGAATAGAGCTAGAAAGTCGTGTTCAGCAGCATTCATGGACGGGAAGCTGTATGTGATTGGTGGGGTGGGCAGCAACAGAGAGGTATTGACCTGCGGGGAGGAATACGACTTTGAGCGGAGGTCGTGGAGGGTGATCGACAACATGGCTGAGGGTTTCATGATCAACACAGAATCGCATGCTCCTCGTGCTCCTCCTGCTGCAGTTGTCAATAACGAGCTTTATGCAGCTCAACACAGTTCCACTGAGAACAAAGTCAAAAAGTATGACAAGCAGAACAATAGATGGATCACACTTGGAAAATTGCCAGAAGGTTCTCATTCCTGTCTTACACCGGGTATTGGTTTCAAAGCATGCGGTGACAAATTGATCTTCGCTGTAGGCACAGACTATGTGCTATATCCTTCTGGCGCTGTTAAGCTTTACTCATGGGTCCCCAATGAGCAGCCACCTGTTTGGAGTTTGATTGCCAGGCATCCCTCAGGTACTACCGTGTGTAATTTCGCCGTGATGAGTTGCTGAGTACGTCCACTGAATAAAGACTAAATACAGACATACATTGGATGTTTTAAGAAAGGTACAGACGTACAGTATGAGAAAAAGGAGCTCTGATGTGATCGTAACATCGGTTCCTGCCAGGTACCCATTTTCAGGCCTAAATCCTGTAACCATATATGAGTTCTAATACTGAAGTATTTTGCTCCGAATCCATTTCTATGCTTGATTGCATTTGGACTTTGGATGAACTGCGATGCGGGACAGTGTTAGATTATCAAAGTATAAATATTTTTCAGAAGGCTTTTCAAGCTTTACTGAAGGGCTCTTTACATTCTTCACCTGTTGTTCAGCTGCTTGTTCCTGAGAATCTAGACATGCCACTTGTTAGGAGCCATTTGCATGTGGGAATTAAAAGCAAGAAGCGCGGCCTAGTGTTTTTTACGAGCATTACAAGTGTGTGAAAGTTGTGCTGTGCAGGCAGTCCATTTGGACAACAATAATCCTGCTGGGTTTCTGTTCCCAGAAGTTGTGTGTTGTGCACTGGGTTTCTGTTGCCATAAGTGTGGTGTTGTGCATTTTGAAGTGCCGAGCTTATTTTTATCTCTATCTATACTACTTTTATTTCTACCACTATGAATCTCGAAGAACACCTTCACGCATGCATCCTGCTTGCTCAAGTTGATGTCAGAGGAAGGTCACCATTTCTACTGGCTTTTTATACTAGCGGTTTAAAAAACCATAAGTGCAAATGGAAAATGGATCGCTAGTAAAATCTGTTTATGTACTTATTGATCCCTTCAAGAATTAAGTTTTTTAAAGTTTGAGTATATTTACAAAAAATAATATTAATACTTGTATCTCTAAATATATTTGTTTTAAAATATACACTATTTATCTAATAATACTTATTACGTATTCTCGAAAAATAAGATGTGCATTCATTCTTTTTAGCATGGAGTATGGTGTGGAAAGCTGTTAATGATCCTTGGATTGTCCTCGTGTCAGGCGCAGTCTTATTGAAGTCCAAGTGATTGTGCTGGCCTTCTGCACGTACCCTCGAGCATCTAGATAAAAGTAATACTACCTTATGTTTGGAATTAAATATCTGATGAGGGTAGTTTTGTAGGAGTATAAACGTAGTCTGAAGTCTGATGTAACGATTATTTATGTATAATAATGTCACAGTGAAGTCGACACAAGTTATTTATGTATAATAACGCTAGCACAGACAAGGTTTGGCCCAATTGGTCAGGCCCGCTGACTGCCACTTCTCTTGGCGGGCTTGGGTACCAAGTTGCCAGCCCAAATGAATCACAGACCCAACCCAAAGTCCAGCCTACAGCTTTTTCTGCAGTACCTCGCTTCGCTTGGGTAAGATGGGTTTGCCAGATCAAGAAACGCCGCAACGAAGGTCCCCACAATGCCAATGGCGACGGATTCCGGCACTGAAGCCGCTGGTGAATCCCCACTCTCCTGTTCCTCATCTCACACGGCCACTGGTGGTGGTTGCTGCGGAGCATCGCCGCCGCTGGTGGGTCGAGTCCGCAGTCCGCACGCGACGTGTTGGACGAAAGTGTCTACGAAGGAAGCGAGGCGCCGCCGCCGGGACCGTTGTGGGCGACTGGGCGGACGTTCCGGCAGACATCCTAGGCACCGTGCTCGGCCTCCTCCCCTGCCTCGCCGACCGCGCCAGCGTGCGGTCCGTGTGCAGCGACTGGCGCGCCGCCGCGCGCATCCAGGCCCTGCCCGCACCGCTGCCCGTGCTGGTGCTCCCCAGATTCATCAGGTTCTCTTGCTTGACCTCCAATGGGGCGCTAACTGCCGCCCGGCACGCCATGATGCCCGTCGTGGCGGCGGGCGATGATGCCTTGATCGTGGGCTCTTCTGACGACTGCCAGCGAGGTGGTTCATCTTCCGTGTCTGCAGCAGAGCCCTTGCAATTACGATTGGTTGGATGAATCCACAAGTGCTCGCCCCATCCCAAGATTCTTTAATGGCACCAAAGAACAAGAGTCATGGCTGTTGCTTTTCTGTGCAGTGTTATCTGCATCACCTAGCTCAGGATCCAATTACATTGTGGCTGCTTTGTCTTGCCACAGCCCACAGGGGTGCACCTGGACTGGCTCTCTGGCAACCTGGAATGACCTCATGGTATCTTTGTCGAAGCGCTCGAATTGATTCTTTCAGCGGTGATCTTGCCTTCTATCAGGGGAAGTTGTACGTGGTTAGGAAGTCCAGACCTAGAATCTTTGCTTTTTTGAGCTTAGGGAGGACGAGCACGGTGTCAGTTTGTCCTGTGCTGAGCATTATAAGATTAATCGGCTTATCCCTTCCAAGACCATTGATTCAACGAGGTGCAACCTGGTGGTATGGCGTGAAAAACTGCTATTAATCATCAGATTCTACAGTGATTACACTTACATGACGATGGACTGCAAACCTCAGAGTGTTGAGGTGTTTGCATTAGACTTCAGCACAAGCCCTTGTGGAGTCACTCAGATTCATAACTTTGATAGCGGTTTCAGATCCTTTTCTGCTGGTTTGCATGTTGGGGTTCAAGGTGACCTTATCTACTTTTTAGATGAATGCATCATCAATAAGGTTTCTTATACATGTGTGCACAACATGAGAGGGGGTACACTGAGGCGTTTTGCTGCCGGTCTACCTCTACCCAAGTCAGGGGTACCAAAGGAGTCCTGCAGTGATTTCCCCGTTTGGATGTTTCCTTCTTGAAGCGGAGGTGCCGTTTGCTCTCCGTGAGTAGCTCTGCTGTGTTATAGGTTCCCAATTTGTTGCTTCTTGGGCGGGACGTCGGGCGGCGGACATGCAGTACCAGTCATGCGTGAGTCTGGCGAAGTGACGTGTGCGGACTGCGGCAGCACGCATCTCGCGAGTCGGGACTCACTCTGTTGCATGTATGTTGATGGGTTGTGCCAGCCGGCCAGGGTATGTAGATGCGTCCCTGATGGCCGATGTGGCAATTTGAAGCAGCGCACGAACTTGAGCATAGGTTGGAGGAGCGCGGCGGCAGGCGGCAGACACAACAGAGGATGGTGGTGACTTGGTGCGCTGTAGGAAGGAAACGACGACCTTTTGTTTTCCTTCAGGTTAAGGTGGGCGGCGGCGTCCTTTTATTTTCATTCAGGTTAAAGTGGGCGGCGGCGTTTTCTTTTGCATCCGCATTTACGGAGGAAGCAGAACAGAGGAAGCAGGCGTCGGTGGATCGATGGCAGCAGTAGTGCAGGAGGAGAACCATGCGTGGCTAGAAGGCTAGTGGTGTTTTGCTTTACAAGAGTATAAGATATAGATTGTCCACTATAGATGTGACATAAAGCCTTTTTGATGATTTTTTAAAGCATATATAATATTGCTAAATTATAAGATACATTAAAAAAAAAAACTCCATTCCACTATTATGGACTAACTTGTTTACTCAAGCATAGCCACTTGCTGAAAATTAAAGTGCACCGTGGGTGGCTCATTTCGTCCCTGTATCCTTCAGAGGCCTGGTAACCATTTTAGGTCCAAAATAAATTTTGCCTTTTTCTTGTGTCTAGCCATTCTAGCTGAAGCAAAAGGATGCCTGACAAGATCCTAACTTTGGGGTATGTTAAGCCTCCGAATCAAGGGCTCCCGACCGAGAGATCCTCAACCGACTGTCGATGCGGGACTCACGGGATACCCCGCAAGGAAGGGAGAAGATCTAGTCTAACTAGGATTCTTCCCATATAATCTTAGTAGTAGTATTATTCTGTAATCCTATTAGGAACTCTCATTGTAAACCGATTAGGACTCTGGCCTCCTGACTATATAAAGGAGGACAGGGTTCCTGGAGACGGGAGACTCTTCGGACAGTCAATAAAACGCAAAAGCTAACGCCGACTGGACGTAGGGCTATTACTCGATCAACGATCGAGGGTCCAAACCAGGATAAATCGACTGTCTCTTGCGTTTACCGTCGAGTTCTGCATACGCTGAAGCCCGAACAAACTGCCCCAGGTATCCCCATAGCAGGTTATCGGTGGTGAAACATCGCCAGCTGGCGCGCCAGGTAGGGGCTTTCGGCGAATTTGCATCCGAGAGCTCGACGGACCTCGACAACATGATCTTCTCGACGGGATCAATCTTCATCTTCGGTTCATGGATCTGCGAGACAGGTGACGATGGCAAGCTCCAAAGCCGTCTCCCCGAAGATTTGGATCACCATGAAGACCTTTCTATTTCGGCGACTACGACAGATCAACTTGCTGAAAGATTCGCGCAGCTCGCGATGTCCGATCCAACTCAGATTTCACGGCTTTGCGCATCCGACTCAAACTCAGGCTCCGCATCCGAGATGGAGTCTTATCCGAGTTCTTTCGAGAAACCGAGTTCTTTTCTGGTGGGACTCCAGAACGCGGCCTCAGCCTATCAAGAATACAACTCAGAGTACACTTAGAGTCTTTTCAAGAAGTCAGATCATTTTCCGTTCGGACTCCACAACATGGCAAAATCTTATCAAGCACGGCTCGAAGGGTCCCTCGATCCGATGCTCAGAATGCCACTGAAAGGAGCTCAGGAAGGTCTCGTACTAACTATAACGTCTCAAGATTGCATCGTCCACTGGCCAGGTTCTGTTCCGGAGGATGGCGGTACCCGACTTGTCGGCACGACGACGATAGCAATTCTACCCTACCAAGAAGGAGACTCGATCTGCGACCTTGAAGCCTCTACTAAAGTTATCAACAACTCCGACAGTGTGGAAACCAACACCGATAACAGAACAATTCACGCACGAGAAGTATTCATGGTTCGCCGTCCTCGATCACCATTGGCCCCCCCAGAAGCACCCGACATCAGGTCATCGGGTGAATCTGAGTCCAACATATCACCCTTCATCCAGGGGCACGATGGTGAGACCGAGAATCAGAAGCAAGCCAGAGAAAGAAGAAACAAATTGAAACAAGGACGCCAACGCCGTGCTAGGCAGCGCAAGGAAGCTTGGATCAGATATGAGTCAGATCTGGCCGAGTACAACAGAAGAAAATCAGAACCAGAAGTCGAAGAAAGACGCGCGGTAAATACACCCTACAATAAGATCCGAGAAGCACTAGAAGAACTCGAAGCAACATTGCATCCCAGCGAAAAACAGGAACAACTCTGGGACCTTCTCTGGTCAGCAGCCCTAAGGAAACACGACGGAAGGACCCGCTCAAAACTACCTGCCATGTCAACATCTCAAAGGAAGGAAGATCAAAATCAAAGGAAGTCCGCTTTTGAGAGACTTGGACCAAGTGGAAGTCACAACAGAGAAAGTAGAAGGGACCACAGTCAAAACTACCGAGTCGAACAACCAAGAAGGACCAGAAGCGAAGCACCCATTCAGACAGCCCCGCAGAACTATTCTCACCAGAACAACAGTTGGCTGGAAGGAGGTGCTGAACCAGAATACAAAGAAGCCAGAACGCACGATAGTTTCCCCTGTTTTGCAAACAGACTTGCTTCAATACGACTACCTCACAAGTTCAAGCCGTCCAACCACTCTAAATATGATGGCAAGACCGAACCAAGGCAGTGGCTCAGGATTTACTCGCAATCGATTGAACTAGCCGGAGGAGACGACGATATCAAGACCTTGTTCTTTCCCATGGCCCTAGAAACCATGCCCCTCCAATGGTTCGACAAATTGAATCCAGGGTCAATCAGAAATTGAGAGGACTTGCAAAGAATTTTTTGTGAAAATTTCGCGGGCATCATTACGCACCCCATCACCCATGCAGAATTAAAAGGACTCAAGCAGAAAGGGGGTGAAAGTCTCAGAAATTACTATCGATGATTTGGCGAACTACGTGCTCAAATACATGACATCACCGAACGAGAAGTAATCGAAGCTTTCTCTAACGGAATCATGGCTAGGTGGCAATTTCAGGACTTCTACAAAGAAAACCCGAGAAACAATGAAGAATTCAGACGCACAGTAGAAAAGATGATTACTGTAGAGAAGAAGACACGAGAAAGGTTCCCAGATAGAAACAATCGAGACAACCCGGACAAGCAAAATCATCGAAACATCAGACATCAGGAAAGAAAACGTGAACCAGACAACACCATAGCGGTGGCTGACAAATCAAGGAAGTTTTCCAAACCCAGAAGGTATGACGACATTGAAAACATGCATTGCATCTTGCACCCTAAAGGAAATCACACCATCGAAAATTGCTACACCTTCAATGATCGATACACAAGAAAAGATAGTAAAGCAAACACTAAAGAAGACAATCAAAAAAAAGATGAAGATAACCACGAAGGCAAAGGATTCCAAAAATCCGGGGGACGATGCAAATGATCTTCGGCCGGGGCCCCAGATTCTAGAAGCAAACATCAAGAAAAGCTAGCTCACGAACCATCATGGCGTGAGAACCAGCTACTCCAAGATATCTCAATTGGTCACAATATCCAATCCAGTTTTTAAGAGAAGACCAATGGACTAGCATAGGAAACGCAGGCCATTACCCACTGGTTCTAGATCCAACTATCACCGGTATGGCTATCACAAAAGTACTAATCGATGGGGGAGCCGGACTCAACATCATTTTTTCAGAAACGCTAAGGAAGATGGGACTACAACTCGCCGGGATGATTACACCAACGAGCACCCCTTTCTATGGGATAGTACCCGACAAGGCAGCCATGCCACTTGGACAAATCACTCTACCGGTTACTTTTGGAACTCCCTCAAACTACCGTACAGAGTTCATCAAGTTTGAAGTTGCAGACTTGATTCATCATATCACGCAATCCTCGGCGCCCAACACTAGCAAAATTCATGGCGATACCGCATTACCCGCATTTATTGCTTAAGATGCCGGGCCTAACGTGTCCTTTCCTTCAAGTGATTTGAAGCGCTTTTTGATCATGACGTTCAGGCAATCCAAATTGCGACCAAAGCACAAGCCACCAATGGTAGAAAAGAAATAGCTACTATTGCCGAGAAATGAGCTTAGAAGAACTAGAGATACCGGCTAAAAGCCCAAAGATCCTCGCACCACCAAAAGAAGCCGATGTCAAACAAATCGACCCGGGCACCGGTGATCCCTCAAAATGACAACCATCGGTACCCCACCTCTCGGCAAAATAGGAACTCGGGCTCACCAAATTTCTTCGGGACAACAAAGATATCTTCGCTTGGAAGCCGGCCGACATGCCAGGTGTCCCAAGAGAGTTGGCTGAGCACAGAATTGATATCAATGAAGGCTCCAAGCCTATGAAGCAACGGCTACGACGATTCTCACCCGACAAGAAGGCAACAATTAAAAAGAAATTACAAAGCTAATGGCAGTACTGGATTTATCAAATAAATCCTTCATCTAGATTAGCTAGCAAACCCAGGTTCTAGTACAAAAAAGAATACGGACGAGTGGCGCGATAAAAGGCCGACTACACAGATCTCAACAAACACTTTGCTGAAAGATCCATTGGGGCTACCACGCATTAATCGATAGTTGATTCAACAGCAGGATCTGCCCTATTATCCTTTCTTGATTGCTATTCAGGGATACCACCAGATCGCATTAAAGGAACAAGACCAGAACAAGACATCTTTCATCACTCCGTTCGGTGCCTACTGCTACAAGACCATGTCGTTTGGACTCAAGAATGCTAGTGCCACATACCAAAGAGCTATTCAAACGTGCCTCGGTGATCAAATCGGCGAAAACATAGAGGCATACGTGGATGACGTAGTAGTGAAAACA